CTGAATAAGTAGACTGCTGCGCAGCGCGCGGCGGCGGCGGGTTCGCGCGGTAAACTGTTTAGGTCTGCTCTTGCCTCGGCTCTCTTGCCGCCGCTTCGGTATATAAATACATTTATAGGTCGAATGTCGGTTGAGACAAAATTCTTGAGTCGCTCCCCGAGGTCGCGCACCCGCCCCGCGTGCATGACTCAGCCGATAGGGCGTATGTGGTGTGACTTTGGCGTGCCCGCTCAGCCGTGGCGTGGCGCGCGTCCGCCCAAAGGAGGCCATTTCCGCCTATATCACTCTGGCTTGTATGATGGCAAAATAAAACGCGGTCATGCGCGCTGCTCAAAATCAATCATATCTATTCAATTGTCTCTATCTGGTCATGGTCAGCAAGGGGCCTCGCGGTGAAAGGTTGGTCTACGGAAGAAGAAAAGATTCTTCTTCCTTCAACTTTAACGATTAGCCAACTAAAACTTTAGCAGACACAAAAAATGGCTATGTAGATTAATAAAGCTAACCATGGCTAAATTTTAGCTGCATATTTAAGAAAAAATTCATCAATGCTATCGCATTAGCAATGTAGCTAATCTTTTTTTTCCGTGTGCTTTATACTATGCCCCTCGTCGACGCCGCCGTGCCGTCGTGTCCTCGTGGCGTCCCGTGCGCGCGGACGCGTGCATCTCGACAACAACGACGACGTGCAACCGCAGCAGGCCAGCAGGCCCCACGCCGTCGCCTCTGGACGTGCACTCCCCCCCCCCCTCCCCTCCTCAATGTCGTCTCTCATCACTAGCAGGTGCACTATAATTACACCACAGCACTCCTCGCTCATCCAGGTCCGTCCCGCCGCCGTCCCCTCCCATCTCCATTTTCATTGCGAACCGACACACACACACACACACACACACACAACAATCCAGAGACGGGAGGAGGAGAAGGGGGAAGTGGGAAGTTCCATAATTCATATAAAAATACAGAAGACGCGCTGCTGTCGCAGTACCAACATTCATGTGACGTAATAATCATAATGTGACTCGATGGCATCTGGCCTGGGTATCAACCCCCTATACACCCGCGAGACGACACAGGTGTGCGTCGTTCTCGCATCACAACACTTTGTTGTTGTTGCTGCTCAATGGCTTTTTATGCAGAAAATGTTCAAGAAATGCACACACAACCAAAATAACAAACAGTCCCTTGAAAATTGCTTTTGACTGAGAAAGCTATTTCAGAGGAAAATATAAATTCAATTCTTAAAATTGCTCGAACGACAATAGATGTTCACCATTTCCGACAATTTTTCTAGATTTTTTTTTTTTTTTACTGCAGTGAAACAACTTTTGTGGTAGCAATTGGGATTGGGATTGCGGCGGCGCCTGGACGCAAATAACTGGGAGACTGGTAATGCCTTTTCAGCCCGCCCACCGACACCTCGGCATCCCCCCGCTCCCTCTTGTCCTCGTCCTACTCCTCCTCCTCCTTCCTTCGACGCCCTTCACCTCTTCATCGCCTCGCCGTCATCACCATCGACATCACCGAGCACTAGCTTCTTGTCCATCACATTATCGAGCGCACTGCGCAATGTACAAAGCTCCAGCGTGGCGGAATAATGCCGAGGCGCAGCGACTTCTCTGAAGCGGAGACCAGATCTGCCCGGCCGAGAGAGAGACACACTGTAAAAGACGTTGTCTTAAAAATGGCAGTATCAGGGCCGCGCTTGAAATTTGAAACAACAAATGTAATGTCACTGTTTTTCAATTCTTACTTTAATGAGAGTCAACAACAAATATGTGGTACTAACATCGTTGTAAATATATTTTAAAAATTGGACACCTAATTTTTGAGACAATTTGTTTCACAGTGGAGGGCCGAGAACCGCCTTTAACGGCGCAGCATCAGCCTCTGCCTCTCTATCTTTTTTTTTTATCCGCGCTTGGGCTGCTGGGCAGCCATCTCCCCACAACACCGGTAGCAGCAGAGCAGCTCGCCCCGCCCCACCCCGCCACACCACCGTCAAGCTTATAAAAAGACATCAACTGCCGAGGAGGAGGACGCTGCAGGCCGCCGTGCCTCGCCCCGCCCCGCTGCTCTATACCCCGCGGTTCAAGGGCCTCCGCGGCGGCACACCTGCGGCCACCCCGCCCC